GTTGGGAAAGTCATGAGAAGCAAGCCAGTAAACAGCTGGTCATCATGGCCTCTGCATCAGCTCCTGCCTCCAGGATCCTGCCCTGTTTGAGTTCCCTCAGTGATGAACAGCAATGCTGAAGTATAAGCCAAATAAACCCTTTCCTCCATGATTTGCCTTTTAGCCAATGGTGTTTCGTTGCAGCAATAGAAGCCCTGACCAAAACACCTCCAAGCTCACAGATTTAGTCTCCCCCTGAACATAAACCCATACTTGTCTTAAACATCCCAAGCAAGCTAGAAATGACAAAAATCCGTGGCCATTTAACCAAACGATTCTACTTCCAAGACGTTATCGTAGAAAGAGAGTTGAGTAGGCACATGGCAGTTCATCACAGCTTTGTCTGTTATCGTTGAGACTAGAAAAAGCCAAACACAACAGTGGGAGGCAGGGTGTGGGCTATGATGCAGCCGTGGAAGAGAGTTTATGGCAACTGGCCTGGACATTCAGACAGATTGAACCAAAAACTGAGAAAGACAGCATGGCTGGCCTCCACTCATTCCCAGTAGTCTGTGTATGTGTCCTGGTATCTACAAAGCCCTGTAGGAAGTCTATCAGAGCTCAACATTCATTGTAGATGGATTTTTTAAACAAGCCACAGCACAGCACAGTCTGCAGAGAGGAGCTACCAGTCTCAGGCAGAGCACCACAGGAAGAGATGAAAATGCTTTGCTTACATTACAACAAGAGTTTTCTTCTCCTGGCACCAAGATGGCTTAGTGAGTACAGGTGCTTTCCCCAAAACCTGTCGACCTAAGTTCCAAACTCAAATGGTAGAAGGAGAGAACTGACTCCTACAAGTTGTCCTCTGACCTCTGTACATACCCCACAGCATATGAACAAGTACATACACAGATGTATGTATTTTTTTTAAAAAAAGACCTTTTATCATTTACAACATATCATAGCAACATAATAACTGTAAACCATTGGTTTTTAAATGCTGTTCTTTAAGAAACAGAAAAGTGACTGTGCTTAATAATCTAAAGTGGAAAACAACCCAAGCATACCCAGGAGATAAAGGATAAGATGCCCATACAATGGAATATTATATAGCAATGGCAATAATCTAGATGTTACTACAGCAATGACATATGGGATTCTCAACTGGGAATCTCCCAAGGCATTCTTGTCAACTTCTGGAGATGTATTTGGTTGTCACAGGGATTCTGCTCCAGGCATTGACAGAATAAAGGCTACAGATATTGCAGGATGCCCTACAGTTTATCAACAGTGCCCACAAATCCCCACATCCCTGCAGCATCTTGCTGAGTCAAGAGGCCACAGCTGTTCCAGCAGAGAGGTCAGTTGCTATGAAAAGATTAGGCAGCATCTGGATCCCATGCCTGAGTGGGCCATGCAGACAAAACTTCTAGCTCCATGGGAGTACTAGACTGGAGAACTGTCACATGATCAGCAATCTTTGGCATCTACTTCTATCACTACAATCCCAGCATCCTAGGAGGTAGTACATACTACTTTGCATAGAGAAGGGCTCCCAGGACCCAGAATAACACTCCAAGAGAAAGCTTAGCTTCTGGCACACTTAGAGGGGATCATTGAATAAAACAGTCAGCCTTGGGGACAGAGCCAAGAAAGATGGTGCAATGACCTAAGATATAGCATAGCAGATATCCCTGCAGTCTGGGCAGGCCATCTGTCTGCAGAAGGGCAGCTCCAAACACTGGCCTGATTCAGAACCTTCTTGGCTCATTTATCCTCTGCATCCTGAGCATCCAGGATGGTGGACGGAATTTAGCCCATTCAGAGTGATGCAACCCTAGGTCCCAGAGCTTTTCATCAGGTTTGAGATGATATGGGCTGGGAGGCCTGTGCTATACCCACCCTTCAGCCCTAGAACTCAGCAGACACCTGTTCAGGAGCCTCCAGGACAGGTCTAGTGGTGTACTATGATGGCTAGGGTTTTGCTTTTAGGTTTGGTGGATGCTGTTGTCAATTAGATACAACCAGGGTTATCTGGAAAGAGGGGACCTCAACTGAGAAAATGTCTCAGGCTAATCTGATGGAGACATCAGGTATAGGTTGATGTTGGAGTGCCAAGGCCACTTCTGGGTAGGTAGTCCAAGGAGACAGAAGGAAGTTAGCTGAACCTGAGTCTGAACAGCAGCTGTCCTTGCATGGCCTCTGTCCCTGCCCCCACGTCCCTTCACAATAAACAGGGATCAGGACATGTACACCAAATAAACCCTTTCCTCCCCAAGTTGCTTGTGGCCATGGTGTTTATCACAGCAATAGAAAGTAAACTTGGACAGGTGCCTGCACCCTCAAGATCCTGGGGAGCCCATATCAACCATAGTCCATGACAAGAAGAGAGGACCCCTCAGCCTGGAACCCCAACCTTGGGTGTTAGAAGACGTTGCTGTGACCCCTGCTCCATGCTTCATGGATGCAGTTGGGGAGACAATGTTGAAGCCCCACCCCCAAGCTCCCTCTGTTCATTCCCCTGGGTAACAGAGAGCATGTCGCAGGAACTGGTCCATACAGCTGCAGTAGCCCTCCTCAGCATCCTCAGAAGGACAGCAGGAACCTTCACACCCCCCCCCAAAAAAGGAAACAACACACACACACAAATAGCTACAACGCCCCCCCCCCAAAAAAACCCGAACTCTTGAGGACACTCAGTTAAGACTGTCTTTAATTACTGTTCTCTTCCAGTGGGATAAAAATTCCTCTCCATCTCTCTTTAAGGCACAATCCCTCATTCAAACTCTTTGTTAAAAATAACTCTAGCAACCAGCCATTAAGCCAGGAATGTGCCTTAGCCTACCCTTCCCTTTCCACCCCCCCACCTCTGGTTTGCAAATTGGCACCTTCCCAGAACTTCACAAAAGACAAAAAAAAAAAAAAAAAAAAAAAAAAGAAAGAAAGAAAGAAAGAAAGAAAGAAAGAAAATGTAGAGTCTTCCACAAGACAGACACCAACAGCCCTGGGAGGGCAGGCAGGACCTGTAATTCCACTGCAATGGGAGGCTACCCCCCATCTCATCTCAGGCTGGCTGATTCCCCTGGCTGTGGCCTACAAGTCTGCAGAATAGAGTGTGTGTGTGTGTGTGTGTGTGTGTGTGTGTGTGTGTGTGTGTGTGTGTGCGCGCGCGCGCGTGCGTGCTTGCTTGCGTTCGTGCGTGCGTGCGTGCGTGTGTTAAAGGATAACTTGCAGGAGTTAGTTAGGTCCTTCCACCATGTGAGTCCCAGGCATCGAATTCAGGTTGTCTGGTGGCAGCTGCCCGGGTCTGCTGAGCTGTCTCAGTGACCCACCACTACTGTCTTACTTAGAGTCAGTCGAGAACAGCCAGCCTCACTCAAGTCGCTCTGCAGCTCTCCACCACCTCCTAAGAAGCCTTGCCCCCTCCCCCAGAAGCCATCATCTCCTTTCTAACAGGGCCAGTTGCACATGCATGCAGGCAGGGGTCCAGCCCTCCTGCTGTCTCATCCCGAACATTCCAGCGAGCTGGGCAGCAGCTTACATCTGCTTCCTGCACCCACAAGGGGAGTCAGCTCTGCTGGGCAGGGTGCAGCTTTGGGTGGTGAACTCTGGTTTTCACTATTTCTGCAGTGCCCCATGAGACCTTGGTGGGACAATAAGCCCTTAGGACTCTGTTAGTTTGTCCTTGACCGCTTAGAAATCACATCTTCAGAATCGAGTCACACACACAAACGCATGATCCCCAAATGAGATGGGGTGGAGAGGGGGGCTACAGTCTGTCACTGTCACCCCATCGGGGTATGATCTGAGAGCTTTCTCCCAGAAAGAGAAAGCAAGATGGAAGGGTCTATTAGCAGAGAGGAGTCTATTTGCAGGTACATACACACTTTCCAGAGCACTGGGCGGACCCCACTGCTGTGTTATACATAACAAAACCAAAATTCTCAGAGGAGGCTGTTGAATGCTGGGAGCCCTGAGATCAGGGGTGGGGCCAAGCAGCCCCGTGCAGCTGGCAAAGCTGGGGTTTCAGGGACTAGCCTAGAGACACTTCCAGCACAAAACAGAAAGAGCAGGAGTGTCTCCCTTCGCAAGGGAAAGAGGAAAGGACACCAGGACACAGGGATGGAAATAAACTCATGTTTTACATTTTAAATCTCTTAGTTCCCACCAGCCGGAGTGCATTCGGGGACCACGTGCATGCATAACCAGATGCACACAAACAGGTGTGCTCTCCTGGGTATGTGGATAGCATGAAGCTCTGGTTCTGAGCTGGCTTGCCTGCCCTCTGCCCTCAGTGGCTCTTGTCCCACCCTCCTGCCTCCAGAGAGCATCTCTGTGTTTTCCAACGTGCCTCCACCTGGCCTTGTGCTATCCGCTGTCACCCAGGAGTTCCTTCTCCAGGAGCCTCACCCAAGGCCTCAGTGACCCCCTACTGTGTGCTTAGCATCACCCTCAAGATGCTAGGTGCCAGCTGCAAGCCTTTGAGAGATGCACAGGAAGAGGATGCCTGTCGACGTGTGCACACACCCACATAAGCACCTTGGAAGCTCATCAGCTCCCATCTCTGCCATTCTTGCCTACAGGTAAGAGAATCTCAGCACGGATGAACCGTTATCAGGACAAACAGCTAATCCCTCCAAACCCAAAGCACAGGGCTGTCTCTCTCAAGCTCTGAAGCGGTCGGTGCATGAAAGAGCTCAGCTCTGCACCTTGCTAACACTGCCGTGCCTGCCGAGTGACACTGGGACAGCTGTCCCTCTACTCCAAGCAAAAGATTGCCACAAGCCAGAGGCATATACCCACAAGGGCTGCACTTGCCTTGAAGAGCCATGGAAGGCCCCAGAGGCCTCTTCACTCACCATCAGCCCATGTGTCATTGGCAAAGCTCAGCCATGTGGTTCAAGAACAAAATTGCAAGGAGATGGACTCAAGGACCAGGCCCATGAAAGGCTCTCCACTGAACATCACAGGCAGCAAACCATATCCAGGGTCAGCAAAGGGGAATGCTTGCCACTCACCAGTTTGTGCCTGAGATGGACGGTGATCAGAGGAGAGCCCGATAGGTTCTGGGACAGAGTGGGTGGTGGGGACACCTCCAGGGAGATCAGGCGGCTGGCGACAGAAAGCAGGCAATCTCTGCAGTTCACAGCCTCAGTAATCCTTGGAAATAAATGAGTGGAAATGGGTTACAAACAGGGGTGGAGGGATGTCGTGCAGCTAGACTGTGACCTTGAAGCCAAGAATTCTGAGACCAGCATTTGATCCTGCATCTGGAAGCGGCCTTTGCTGCTAAACATCTCAATTCTGTACCTCAGTTCCACCCTGTATGTGTGTGCCAGCATAGGGTGTCATCGTGGTTGGCCACCCAAGAAACAAGAACATACCCACACATCTCACCCACCACTATACAACACTCACTTTGTGCTGGCTGGGGGGATGTTGTTCAGGTAATAGTGCATGGAGTGGTAGAGAAGGCCGACAATCGTGGTCCAGGCTGAGGACAAAGCAGAGGTCAGACACCCATCAACACTCCAGTTTCCAGCAGGAAGTGTGCAAAACCGTACACACAGGACGGCTGAAGGCAGTAACTCACTGACTTAGGGTGGGGGTGGGAGGGGGAAGAGCCACAGGACAATGAAATTTACAGAAGCATAGAAACTGAGGCTAGTCCTGTGCTCGGCTGGGACAATGACCTCCTGCCCTGTCCCCTATACCCACTCCAGACACAGGTGCTAAGGCCATAGATACCATAGAGGCTCAGGGCCAGGGGGCTCTCCATGAGCTGCCTGGCAGTGTGTCTCAGTCTGTAGGATGAGTGTGCTAATACTCAGAGGCAGGTCTCTGCAGACCCAGCACACTGCAGACTAGCACACACCCAGATGGCTGCAATGGGCCCCCAGCCCCTTATTGCAGTGAGAACTGCATACTCAGCTCTTTTTTTTTTCATTCCAGGGGTGTGAGATCACTCAGCAGTCATTGGCTGATTCTCTGAACTCTCCCTGCTGTCAACTCACGACTCACTACATGCCAGGCACAGTGATTTATACACACTTTGCCTTGTAAGGTCTGAAACAATATCACAAAACAGGTATTTTTATTGCCCTGGCACAGCAACTTGCCCAAGGCCACACAGCCAGCAGTGGATAAGCTGGGGTTCTAACCACAGAATCTGGGTTGGTTGTCAATAAGTGTTGAGAACATGGCCTCTGCCATTCTGGAAATGTGAGCTATTTCTAATATGTCTGCGCAGTGGAACCTGGGAGGATAAGACCCTACTCAAGGATGCTAGGTGGTGCCTCTCTCCTGAGAGCAGGATACATTGAATATTTTCCAGGAGAAGATGAATATCATAGGCAAATCTCCTCCAGACCAAAAATTGGGTCCTTGCTGGGGAAGGGGCTGGGATGTGCCTCTGTCTAGGCCCTCTACAGTGAGGAGCTACAGCAATCTTCAACTGTGACTGAACACAAGAGGGACGGATGCCATCTAGATATGGCCAGAATCACCTGGGCCTTATCCATCAGGTGCCCTTGGCTACTCCTTCATAATGAGACTTGACTTGGGCCTGTTCTGGGATAGTTTCTGGGTCTTCTATATAGACATACCTATCCATGGCTACCTTGAACAAGGAGAGGAGGTGCCCCATCTACTCACATTCAACTCACCGGGAGATGAGCAGATTAGGGGACACACAGTATTCTGTGTGGTAGGTCAGATTCATGGGAACATAGATTTGCAGAGCCCCACTCCAAGTCCAAGCTCAGTCTACAGTGTGTTGCAGAATGAGGTGTTAAGGTGTGCTTTGCATCAGAGCCTCCTTTGGGGCAGCTCCATCAGGGAGGGCAGCCACCCAGACTGTACCACCTGAAAGCCTGAGCAACCATATACACTCACCTTTGCTGTGAAGGGCCTCTCTTGGAATCTCAATGTAGCTGTGCCCGTGGGCTGGGAACCTATAGTGAGGGACACTCAGTGCTGGGGGAAGGACCTTGGCCACGGAGAAATCTGCAGAAGTGGACATAGTAAAATGGGGTCAGCGGGCTCACTGGCTGCAAGAAACAGGCTGAGGAACCTGTGTGTGTGTCACTATTCTTTGTTTCTTAAACCAAGGCAACTCTTAGGGGAGAGGACTTGCCTCCAAAAGGATGACCAAGAACACATATGTGTGTTCATGGGTGTGTGTGTGTGCCTGTGTGTGTGTGTGTGTGTGTCCATAGGTATATGAATTAACAAAGGGATTTCTACAGAGCCTAAGTCCTCCAGCCACACCCTAAGGGAACTCCTGCCTGGAGGGACCCTGACCCTCTCTAGCCCTCTAGCACTAAGCACTCTGCCTCGTGGTCCAGCCCATAGGCTTGAGGGAAGCTGTGGCTATCTAAGCTCTGGAGGACCCCATCAGAAAAGGGAAAGTTAAAACACACGTGTGGAGGGGGTGCTTTGGCAGACAGGCAGCTCCATAAGCTGCCTCTGTAGGAAGATGAGCTCCTGGACCATGGTGGGGTAATGTGTGATGTCCCCTGCACGGAAGTGTCCTCAGACAGGGACTCAAAGCAAAGAATTTGTGCCTATCTGTGGGGACCGGACACATCCTGGGAAGATCAGGCAGCTTCCTCAGAGATTCTGCCATTCATCTGAACTCACATTCTGGTCTCCTCCTTCTTCATCCATTCCACATCTCTGGGGCAGAGAGCATCCCACTGGATGCTTAAGGACCCAAAGGCTCAAGGGAGTTGGAGTCCCTACTCTCTTTGGGCCCCAGACAACTGTCATGAGACGTCTGTAGCTCCACATTGCCATGGCTACTTACAAATCCCCGTGAGCATACCATGACCCAGCACTTCTAACCTAATTCTAACACATTTTTCTCCAAAAACAGGATTTTGTACAAGGCACTGGACCTCAGAGAAATGGCGGTTTGCCTCAGTTGCTGTGTGAGCCTCAGACAGTGTAAAGGTAAATGACCCACACACCTGGCACTCTCCCTCCCCAACCCCCCACTGTCCCTCAATCTGATAATGGTTACCTGCCATGGAGGAAGAGCCTATGAGGGTGACATGGGGTTCTCTGGATTGCAGGTTGGATGATATGTGACCCATTACGGTATCGATGGTGTTCACCAGCCCCAGCGTCATGGTGTTGTCCTGCAAGCAACAGAGACATGAAACTCTAACGACCACCATACTCAGCATTATGTGGAATTGGCACATCACAAACTCAGAGCTTCACTTCCCCATGATGGCCATCAGAGAGAGAAAACCACCCAAGTGCCCCATTTTAAAGCCTGGGAGATGACCATGTACCAGATGAGTTCATGTAGCGTGGACACAAGTCAAAGCTGACCCAATGTCATAGCATTAGTTCCTGAATGACCAGAGGACTTGGACCACTGTTTGTAGCTCTGCTATGAATCCTCCAAGGACCAGGATAAGCCTCAGGTCTGCCCATGCCTCTGTCTTACGGCTAACAGCCTTGAGTCCCCTGAGGCATGAGGACACCAGCGATTCTTTTCTATTCTCAGTGAAGTAGCAGCCTCTTTGAAGGTACCAGGCCCCAAATACCCTCTGGCCTCTTTGACTCCACATCCAATGGCCCTCTTCACCTACTCTGCATCTTTAAGGCAGGAAGAACACCACTGGATTCTATTCACAGGAAGGAGGGTCCCTTCTAGCTGTACGGATCTCTGCTGCCAACTGGGGACCAGTGTCCATGCCAGGGTTCATGTCCACATTGGCCTGACTGTCTTGAACTTCATGGCAAAGAACAGTTGTTTCCACCCCCTGCCTCATTCTGCCTGGCTCTGCTCTGCCTACCTCGCCCATCCCCTTCCATCCTCTTATAGATTGCTTCTGTCGCTGTTGAGTTCTCGACACCCTCTCACAAACACTCTAGGAGGGCTTACTGAGGCGGAACCAGATACACAGGCCAATTTTAGACATTGTCTCTTAGGCCCGTGGTCTGATTCCAATCAGAATGTCTGTGTCTTTGGCATACAGTTCTAGGGGGAGCAGCGATTCATGCGTGCCCTTCTCCTCAGTGCTTATAAGCTTGCCTAAGCCTGGATTGTTTCATAATTATTCATATTTTGCAGCAGATTTGCATATTTTACATTCAAAGAAAGTTCATTTAAATCAATGAAGAAAAATCTGTCGATCTGAGACATCCACTGTCCCTCCTCTGGCTGTCCCCACTGGCTAGTCTCCCATGTTTCAGACTGCAGCTTGTACACAAAGTCCCTTAGAAACCTATCCCTGGAGGTCTGCGCTTCTTGAAGAAGAATGTGTTTCTATGTAAGACTGTGTCGCACTTACATTCTTGACCCCCTTCCCTTCCCATCTGCCGGTTATGCAATCTCATTTCACGTGAAGCACTTCAATAAAGGGCTCACAGAACGCAGACGTCATGCCACCTTACTAATAAGGGGAGAATTGGCTGTCACTTCTGCCTCTCAACCTTGCGAAACCTGTCAATGTTTGAAATGAGGGGGATTCAGGAGCGTGAGCTCTTTGGCATGTTGGTGTGATCAGGGCCTTCTGGATGCCTGGGAGCCTTCATCCTCCTCCTTATTGACCCCCTGGGAGCCATGTGTAGCACGGAAGCTGGGCAGGACTGAGATCTTGAGTCGCTACATAGACTGAATGTTTGAGAGGTGAATGCCTACTATACCAGTCACTGTGAGGTGGGGTCTGTTGTTACTGTAGCATGGCCTACACTGACTAACATGGTGCCCAGAGTACCTTGGCAAATGTTCTCTCTCCCCGATTTCCCCATTTTGTGTGTGTATGCGGTAGGCATGTGTGTGCACATTTTTGCATGTGTGTGGGTATATATGTGCACATGCACATGTGTGCATGTGGGAGCTGAGGTTCATGTTGAGCATCAGTGTACATCACGCTTCCACCTCACTCATTGAGGCAGGGTCTCTCAGTCAAACCTAGATCTCACCTATATGACTAACCATCTTGCTCTGGGAATCCCTTGCCTCTGCCTTCCCAGGTTGGAATTAAAGGGTGGCTGCCATGCCCACCCAGAATCTGTGTGGGTGCTTGGGACCTGAACTCCATCCAGCCTGTATTGCTTGTGAGCCATCTCCCCAACCCCACCTTGGCAAACGTTCTTGGTAGAAGTGAGGAGAAGCAGGTTCTAGCAGATGTCTGTAGAATGAATGTGTGTGAGTGGGCTCTGGACCAGACTGTGGGGTCATCTGAGGCTGCTCACCGTCACGCTCTGCCTGACGGTGCTGGGTGATTCTTATATTAGGTATTTTTATCATCTGCCATCGCCACAACTATTCATCGACTGTGCTCATGTTTTAAAGAAGTAATATCAATAAGGTGGTTGGATATCAAAGAAAAGCACTCCGTTCTGCTTCCTGAATTTTGAGTGCAGGAGGACAAAAGCCTTTCATTTTCTCACTTTAATCACGAAGCACACTTCCGCGCTCGGCCATCTCACTCAATCCGCTGATCTTAAAATGCCAAATATGGCTCTTATGACTATTCAAGAAGGCAGAATTAAAAAAAAAAAAAAAGACATTGTGTGAAATGACAAGCAAAGGTCAGCCTGCAAAGATCAGAACCAGAGATGGTGGCACAGGACTGAGGGTTTCAGGGTCCCAGGTTCCCCTGAAGACCAGAACACACAGTACCCTGGGTGCCATTCATACCCCAGTGAACTTCAGTGACTCAGGTAGCAGGACCTGGAAAGGCTTCATTCTTCTTAAAGATAGCTAGGGACCTGGGATGCCACTGCAAGAAGACAGCCATAACAAAGTATACACATACTAGAGGTCAAGGCATCCTTCTTACCTCTGATACGTGGGTCCAGCTGGGAAGTAGAAGCACCTCACCCACAGTTCTTAAGAAAGTCTAAAGATAAAAAGAACAACACTGTTTTAGCATAGATCCTCAAGCCTCACATCTGGGTCCATGAGTCTCCTCGGCTGGTAATTGACTTAACACATAGTGGCAGGCAATAATAGCTTATATTTGTGGTGTGTGAACATCTGTGTGTATATGTTTACATGTGTGTAGGCACACTTTCATGTTGATGCACCTGGGAGTCCATGTGTGTGCCCGTGAAGCCCAAGGCTGATGTCAGGGACTGTCCTAGATGACTCGTCCACCTTATTCACTGAGGCAGACTCTTAATCAACCCCAAAGGGGGCCAGTAAAGCTAAACTTCACCAGCCAGCTTGCTGTAGGGAGCTCCTGTCTCTGCCTTCTGAGACTGGATTTATAGGCAGGTCACCATATCCACTCAGCAGTCTGTGGATTCTGGGGATCCAAACTCAGGTCTTCAGGCTTGTGGGTCAAATGCTTTGATCACTGAGCCATTTCCCCAGCCTCCGGCTCTATCTTACAGATGCTATCTCATTTGTTTCTTGTGACAACCTTGTAAAGTCAGTGATCAGAAGGTGGATATCCCAAGGGTCCAGGTCATGTGACAGGCCCTAGAATGCCCCACCAATGTATGTATGTATGTATGGATGGATGGATGATGCATGCATGCATGCATGAATAGATGGATGAACGAGTGAATGAGTGAATGAGTGAATGATCACAGCTCATGAAATCTACTTTAGTCAGGGCAGCCTGACATTAAGCCACTTATACCAGCTGGAAAGCACCTCAGCAAAGTAGAAGCTACCTATGCCCTCCAGTCAGTCACCTTAAAACCACATTTGCTTAGGCTCATTCTTGTTCCAAAACAATGAAATTAAATTTCAGCATTTTCAAGCAGGGAGATTTAAGTGAAAACTGATCTTCCTGCTTCCTTTGAAAGAAAGTGTTAGCCTGCCAGCATTCCACGTAACCATGGAGCCGAGCTGAGCAGGGTAGCTGTTTCCATTTGCTCCAGGCCCTGCCCCTCCCTACTCATCTGTCTGTCTTTCTATCTCATCTCCTGCTACAGACACCAGACTCAAGCTCGGAGGTCAACTCATCGACCTCCATTTCCTCTACCTAGTGGTTCTCAACCTTCCTAACACTGTACCCCTTTGATACAGTTCCTTTCGTTGTGGTGACCCCCAACCACAAAATTATTTTCCTGGCTACTTCATAAATGTAATGTTGCTAATGTTATGAATCATAATGTAAATAGTTTAGGAGAGAGAGGGTTGCCAGAGGGGTCTCGACCCAGGGTTGAGAACCCTGTAGAGTCTTCACAGTCAACAAAATCCTGTCCCTGCTCACCAAATACACTAAGTATGTGCAGAATGCATCATCAAAGCTTCCTTCTCCCATTCATCTTCATTCCACAGCTGTTTATTTATATTCTAAAGTTCAGGGGCTTAACTAATGGCCAAAAAAAGAAAAAAGAAAAAAAAAAAAAAGCTCCTGCTTTCTCTCCTTGATGGGAGGAACAGCAAGCACTGGGTAGTTTCTATTAATTCCTTATTCCTTTCCCTCATATAGCTTAGGCTGGCCTCAAACTCACTATTCATAGAACAAGCCAGGCCCAAGATGACCTTGAACTTCTGATCCTCGTCCCTCTGCCTCCCAAATGCTGAGGTTGCAGGTGTGCACCACCAGACTTGGTTTGTGCAGTGCTGGGGGTCAAACCCAGGACTTCACACATGTTGGGTAAGTACTCTTGCAACTGAGCCATGTCCATAGCTGCTCACCCCATGATTTTTCTAAAAATCCACAAAATAAGGACTTCAGGGGGCCAGGTAATACCATCAGCTCTGCCACAGAGTGCAAAAGCAAGCTAGACTGTGCATAATTGAGTGGCCATATGTCCCTAAAATGTTACTACAGAAATAGGCCATGTGTGGATTATGTTTGGCCTGAGGGATAGACAACAGTTCTGAGAACAGAAACAAGTGAACCATGTCAGTCAACTTGAATTCGTTCTTCCTTCCTTCCTTTCTTTCTTCCTTCCTTTCTTTCTTTATCCCCCCTTCCTCCTTTTCTTTTCTTTTCTTTCCTTGGAGGTGGAGTGAGTAGGATCTCATGATGTAGACTCAAGATCCTCCTGCCTCAGTTTCCCAGGGACTGGGATTACAGGTGTGTGCTACCACACACAACTTTCTATTTCCAATCAGCTGCTTCTGTGGGGGGGGGGCACTTAAATCAGTTAAATGGTATATTTTATTTACTTAAAATCAATTAAATAATATATTTTATTTACTTAATTCAATGTATAAAATATTGTTTCAACATGTATGTCATATTTATGTTAACTGTTAGATATTTTATAGTTCTTTTGTTCAGGGTGAGGACTCCAGGGGCATCTTGTACATGGGTCACACTAGTCCCTGTACATGACCCACAGGCCTCACACTCGAGAGCATACATGAGTGACAGCACAGCCTGGGAAGTGGCCTCTGGCCACTGTACCCGCCATCATGGATAGCTAAGAGCCTGGACACTATGGAAAATTGTAGAATGCCTTCCTACAAATTTTGTTTCCTGTTGAGTCAGAGTTGAGAAGTGCTGGACACCATCATTCTGTATGATTTGTCCCTAGGGTACCAGGGTCAGCACAAGCCCTGAAAAGACCTCAAATTGATGATCACTGGGCTTATTCAGTCTTGAGATGGCTTTCATTTGATCTGTACACATTTCCTTTTAAAAGTTCAGCCATGTTTTCAAGATTTAGGGCTTCCCTTGCCAGATCAGAAGAGGTGGGTAGAAGGATGAAGTCAACCTCTGACTGGCTGGATGATGCTCTCTGCAGGTCAGCTGTCCTGCCCATTGCATCTATGACTTTGATTTTTGACCCCCAAAGGCATCTGGCTTTGCAATCTGACTCGGTGAGGCTCAGCAGAGAGGTAAAGCAGAAGTAACAAGCAAAGAGCAAAGCCACTGAGCTCAGGTAATGTCTCCCATGTGGTCTGCAATGAAGTCTGTGTTCCAACACACTATCTTATGAAGAACATGGGAGCCCTTTGGCCATATGTCCCTGCCTCACTTCATCCCCACCAGCTGTCATATAGTACCACACTAGGTTTAGCAGAACAGCCTGTCTCCCCTGACCCAAGTCCCTCTGTGCTCAGCTCCATATTCTTCCTGAAAGATAGATGGTAGCCCTTTCTGTGGCTCTCGGCCATAGTGCCTCTTAGCATGCACAGCTCAAGGAAACAATGGTTCATGCCTACCATAGCCCCTCATCTGCCAGCACATTCCAATGGGTGATAAAGGCTGAGACTGGAGTGTGTTCAGGGCCTGGGGAAAGACATAGACTTTCCAAAAATTCCTATACTTTATAGACAGCCTCTCAGAGCAGCTGTCACAAGAACAAAAGAGAGATTTGATGACAACCGTACTGTAGGCCAAGCCCTGTTCCAGTGTGTCACATACCATCTTCCATTGGTAACCTACAAGATTGCCCAAATTTAGGGATTTTTCCACCCAATCCAGCCCTTTTTCCTGTAGAAATGGGAAGTGTGCCACAAAGGCAATTTGGCCCAACCAAGATCTCTTTCATGACTGTCTGGTCTGCCATAACAATTCTGCCCCCAACCCCCTGAGAAGGTGATTGGTTTAGGTGAGGTCAATGGGCCCAGTGATGATCAATAAGGTTAGGTGGCTACTTCCAGGGCATCATGGGAAAGCTTCTGTCCTATAAAGATGAGCCACCCACCATCCCCAGCCCCAGAACATTTAGACACAAAGGCAAAGGGCTATATGTAGTTATATGGACATAGGAAGAGTGTCCATTGGACCCAGAACACAGTGACTTCAACACTAATAGATCAATGGTCAGAATACATAAAGGAGGGTCACATAGCAGAACCATCCAGCCACTGTCAATGCCAAGGACTCAGACACCATGTTCCACACCTGTTCTAGGCTGAAGCATTATGCTGGTACCAGCTAAATACCTGGGATGCACAACTCCTCCACATCTCCAGTAACTGTGAGGTCTTGCAGGGTTAGACATTGTGCCTACCAAACTACAAAGAGGACAGGGATGGGATCATCACTAGCTTGTCCCACTCCAGAGTCTGGAACCTGAGCCAAGCTACCCAAGCCCATCTTCCCTTAGTACTTTCCAGAACCTGAATCTATCTTAGTCCCTCAATCTTTTGAAAGCCATGGTAGTTCCTGGCAATGTGGGATTCTAGAACCAATGTGTTCTGAGAGATGATGAAGTCTTGGACATCCAACTTGCTTCTCCCATCCTAATCAAGAAAGCTACTGAGTATCTCCAGCCACTACGGGGAGCCTCTAGTCACTATATCCCAGGTGTGCCATGTTTTCCTGGGTGTGCCTTCAGCATTAGAACTTCCAAGAAACTAGAATCCTTGGGGAGAAATGACTCTGCACCTGGACACTAAAGTGTACAGGGACCCACTTGGTTTCCTGAGATATGATCGCAGTAACTATTGCCTCAATGTGTCAGAATAGCCAGGAAGCCAGAACAATTTGTACCTTAACAAAAAGTACACAATTGTAACCTGCAGGACAAAAGTGGGCCTAGCAGCCAGACTCCACACTCTCTGCTCATAGTCTTAGGCTATATTCTCAAGAACGGCCTACCTCAAACACCCCTTCTCTCTCCACACCAGACAAGAACCCTGGCTCAATAAGACCATACAGTCATGAGATACCTCAAGCTTGTAGTGAGATAGTCCTTCTGTGGCACTGACCACGCCCATTGGGGGTGGAGCCATGGGCGGAGTGACCTGTGGAAGGAGGTCAGGGCGGAAGGGGCCAGGAAAGGTGCTCTCTTTCTGGCGTGACTCGGACAGGAGAGGATCGGGTTGAATTTCCTGGTGTTCATCTGTCTAGGTTGTAAGTGATTTCTCCCTGAATAAACATCTATTCGGCCTATTTGTTTATCCTGATCCTTATTTAACTGCGTTATCTGCCTCTACCTGGAAACTGTTAGGAGGAATGAAGAAAGGGAGTATCTTAACTTTAATGCCCTAAGTACCACACTCACAGAGGGCTCTGGGTGGCTTTAGAAAGTTACACTGTAGACCACGATCTGTGGCTTCTAACTACATCTGCTAACATCCCCCATGTCTTCCTTATTGCCAAGGAGACAACAGACTTGAGACCATGAGTTGAAGTCCAACTGATTATGGAGGCTGGGTAAATGTGTGGATGGACCAGAGAGGTTAGACGCTGGGGAAGTGAAATGAAGATCCAATTCCCAGCTCAAGGAGGCTTCACTGAACCACAAAGAGCTGACCAGAACAACCTGCCTGTTTACAAACAAAAAGCCTAAAATGCTGTCAGGCAAAGGCTCTTGATCCTGCCGTGTTTGTGTGTGTGTGTGTGTGTGTGTGTGTAAGCCAGAACTATAGGTGGCTGTAAGCCATACAACATGAGTTCTAGGAAGTGAATTGCAGTCTTCCATAAGAGTAGCAAGAGCTCTTAACTGTTGAGTCATCTAAACTGCCATGGCTCTAGATCTAACTCTCTAATTCATGGTCCAGCCATACATCAGCCCCAATCCACCAGACAAAGGCACAAGGAGCCTGACCTGTGTGAGGTTCAGCGCAGTTTCCTCTGAGAGGGATTTATTGGGCAGGCTGAGGGACATATTTTGAAGGTAACGAAGCACGGTCCCAGGTCTCTGGAAGCATTTCCTCTCCTCTGTTAGGTTGGTGATGATTGGGTGATAGGCATCTGTGGGCATCTGAAAAAAACAGTGGCCACATGACTTCCTGTGGCCAGGAACTGAAACCAGGGCATTCTGTACATGTTCAGAGTGATCTCTGGCTCAGGCCCCATCAGGACAGTACCAAGACTGGTCCCCCACCCCCAAGATGCTTCTGTGAAGGGTTTGCATAGTAACAGCATCCCATCCTCACAGTTACCTCATGAAACAAGAACCATCTGAAAGATGAAAAGAGACACAGAGAGGCATAAGGAGTCGATGAGTGATAAACAAAGATCTGAACCCAAGTGTCAAAGTCCCTGAGCAAGGGACATTCTTTAGACACAAAAATTAATTTGAAGCAGCCACTCTGTATGAATCGACCTATTCCTCTGATATCAGAAAAAGTCACCAAAGGAAGAGCTGGGTCTCAACTGCCCAGGAAACCATTTCAGAGGTCACGGTCTTCCCAGGATTCCCTTTCTTCCTAGTGTTCCAAGGAAGAGGAACCAAGGGGATCGTTTTTCCAATCAGTCTGGGCACCAGGCATTACTCTAAAACTTGCTTCCCTCCCTTTATTATTTCATTCTGGACATGACTCTGGCCTTGCTGGCACACAGCACGAGCCAACCCAAGCAACAAGAGGGTGGGGGTATGGTTTGAATGTGAAGTGCCATTCAAAGAGTCTTCTGTGTTAAAGCTTTGCTCTCTAGTTGGTGGCACTATTAAGAGATGACTGGGTCATAGCAGGATGCTAACCTCATCAACAGATTAAACCCATGGATGAGTTTGTATGCTGGAGAATGGGCTATAGAGGTGGGAGCTAGGAGAAGAAAAGAGGATATGCCATTATCCTCAGACCCATTTTCTTACCACTCCCACCCCCATCTCTCTTCCCACCCTCACCCCTACTCCCTGGCTGCCCTAGAGCATGGGGGAAGCACCTTTCTCCACTTGGCTTTCTACCATGTGTCTGCCTTGTCTCGGGCCCTCAGCAATGCACCTAGCACACCATGGACTGAAACCCTTCCCTCTTGGGTTGTCTTCTCAGATATCCTGTCCCAGCTACAAAAATGGGGCAAAGAGAAAAGGCCCTTGCTCACCACGGAATGTGCTGTAGGCATAGCGGGTGGTGCTGAGGACGACAGAAGAGAGTGTTTACCTGGAAGAAAAACAATGCTGCAGTGAGGGCTGGGTCATCCTTTGTCATCCCTAGGGAGGCCTGTCTTTATTCGGAATTTACCAGCTTGAGGTGTCCTACAGAGGCACGGGATGCTTTGAGTATGGATGTTGCTGGGAAGATAAAGGGCTCATAAATCAGCCTAAAAGGTAGATTATATGGATTTTCCCAGCAGAAATTATTTTTCCATTTATATTGTAAATTGCTTCTGAACACCGTTCATGCAAGCCATCACATAAAAGGATGATTTTATGCAAGGTCTCACGAATTTCAAACAAAGAAAGAATAAGAAATAGGCTTCAGTGGCACCCGGACTCATTATAGATAAAACACAGGATTCTTAATCACTGGGTGCTATGGTTTCAATCAGAAGCATCTCCCACACTCGAACATTTGGTACCCAGCTGGTGGCACTATTTTTGGAAGGCTCTGGACACTCTGGGAGGCAGAGCCTAGCTGGAGAAGCTGAGGCCCCTGGGGACAGGTCCTTGAGGGTGTGTTTACCCCCTGCCTACTTCCTGTTGTTTCGCTCTGCTTCCTGCCCCCATTGTCATGTGAGTAGATGCCCCACTCAAATATATGGAACCCAGTGGCCACCAGCTGAACCCTCCAAAATCATGAGCCAATATAAATCAATGCCACTTAAGTAATCATCTCAGGTGTTTTGTTACAACATGAAAGGAACTGATTTACTAGGCTAAGATGCCACCCCAACAGTGGTGGAGGAGACAGAACTTCTGCTGTGAGGAGCCTGGTTACTCTCTCTACTGATGGTCTGGTTAATTATGAGCCCTTCCCCATGATGAGATGTCCAAGTTTAAAGACGAAGCCCCCACTTGCCACTTTCTGCCTACACTTCACCATATTTCTGACTATTGTTTCCTGATGAGAACATAGACTTGACTTGATACTTGACCTCATTTTTGGGAAATGTCTCAAGGTTGCTTTGGGTGACCTGAGGAAATGACATCATCACACTGGCTGGCTTGAGAGTGATGGGCCCCTTGGGACTGGGTGGAGCGAGGTGGCTGGCGATGTAGAGCTGGACCCCAAAAGCACTTTGTTCTCCAAGACTGAGTGACATTCATGCCAACGCAGCCATGCCATGTATTCATGTCATGCCACAATCAACTCCTGTTGACTCATGTGCAGCTAAGAGATAAAAGCAATGAAGTGGAGGTTTCCCTGTACACCATGGGAGCGGTCATGTGACATTCACATGAGAAGTGAGTGCCCTTGGTCTGGCTCAGTGCCCGTGTGATCTTGCTATGATAGGGTCATCTGGCAGATGGTATATATGCCTAGGTTTCACAGATGCACACACTTGAGATCTCAGTCTGAGCTGGACCCTCTCTGCCTCTGCATGGGAGCTGCTCCCCACTTGAGCATCATGGTCTGGCAACCTTTCTGGGAGAACAAATGCCAACACTCCATCTTCTTATGAGTCACCAAGTGATGGAGTTTTGTGGAATATTTAGAACAGGTGAACCTCAGAAGGATGAACTAGGTTAGTGGCTGCAGAAGGCAGTGATGGCTTAACAGACGTGGGCGTCCCTTAAGGATGATGAAATATCTGAAGATGATTTAGAGACTGTGTTTACACCCTGTGAATTTGATAAATACCACCAAACTGTTTACCTTATTGCCATTACTTTTTTATTGTCATGTATGCGTGTAAGAGCAGAGGTTAACTTCAGTGTCATTCTCAAGGATCTGTCTGTCTACCAAAAAAAAAAAAAAAAAAAAAAAAAACCCTAGGACCTGGGGCTACTGGTGATGATAGCCTGGCTGGAGAGCGAATTCACAAGATCCTCCTACCTATGCCTCCCCTGTGCTGGGATTATAAGCACACACTACCACACCCTGCTTTTTAAGTGTGGGTCCTGGGATTTTAACTCAAGTCCTCATGCTTGAGAGGCCAGTGCTTTACTTACTGAGCAATCAGTCTAGCCCTATATATTTTTTAAAAATTGCTCACTTTAAACAGTTACACAGATGTCACATGAAATTTATCAAAGCTTTTTAAAAAGTCCCATGGCAAAGTGAAGACTTGATCCATGCCCACCTGCCTATGGGCCCCTGCTTGGAGCAATCACCTGTAATGGAACACGGAGAAGGTACCCTGGGGTTTGGGGGCCCCCCCGCAGAGGATGTGCACATGGGAGGCATTTGTTAAAGGCATGAATATTTGCCACCAAAACCTCTGTAATCAGCATTTGTATACCCCATGGAGCTTGCAAGGATCAGAGAATATTAATCTCAGTGTGTCTCCTGCGAACTGTTGGCTCATTTATCTTGGGGAACAGGTGTTCAGAAACATGCCTGTACTTATAAGGCTCATTAAGACACATCTGGCATCTGCCATGACAAAGGCTTGAGAGCTAAAGGGTGCTGAGGAGCCCAGTGCTGAGTACCTTGAGATGCAGACCCCAGATCTACCCACAGCCTTCCCCACAAACTGACCTATGGCAGCTGTGAAGTACATCTTGATCTCATCGGGAGTGAGTGCACGTTCCCAGATGATGAACTCATCGAAAGCTCCGCTCTCATAACGCTTGGTCTGGTCCTGCTCAGACCCTATGACCAGGTTGGCATGGGGATCCCCATAGGTGTGAGACACTTTCCCGCTCGGGTCTGACGTGCTCAGAGTCCCGTTGACATAGACTTTTAGGCCCTCCTTGGACTTCCATGTGAACAGGACATGAGTCCAGTAAGGACCTGGAAAAGAGTGAAGAATGCATCCTGAGCACAGCCAATGAGTTCTGCATGAGCTTTCTTCATTCCTAAGCACATCCCTCTTCAATGTGATGTTTGGTCACCCTTGACTTTAGTGAGTCCAACTATGGATTATAACAACCTGAATCCCTTTAGTCCTTTGGAGCACATGAGCTTTTCTCCCACCCCCAAATTCCAAAAGCAATTCGAGAAGACCCTTTATTGTTTGAACACAAGAGTCACACATTTAAACACCTACACTTGGAGGCAATAAAAGACTTGTTTAAAAGGCAAAATCCGAGTACCAACCAATCAGACCATAATCCTAGTTGAAAATCCCACTATGCTCAGGAACAAGATGAGGACATCCCTCTGTCACAACTTCTGGAAGTCCCCACTATTACGGTAAGCAAGGAAAGGGACACATGGGCTGGGAAAGACAGAGTGAAATAATCTTTACTATCAATAATAAAAGCAAAACCTGAAATGTACAGGTGATGGTCACATGATGGGTGGATAAAAAGCTAAGAGACAAAAGTCAGTAGTCTTCCTACCTGACAGTAATGAACATGTAGAATGTATTTGTTCAGGCACATACACACCCACACACTCATGACTGAGGAAAGAATGAAATGTTTGGAGAGGCATCCCATGTTCATAGACAGGAAACTTCAGTGCTGTTAAGGTGTCAATCTATCCCACTTGGTTCCGTAGACTCGGTGCAATTCAAACCAGCCCAAATCCAAGCATGCTATCCTTTGGAGAGCCACCATTGGTGTTTACAGCCTACACAGAGAGACAGATACTAAGGAAAGCCACCTATTAAAAGAGTTGGAGGACTGACATGGCCTCCTTCTAAGACTAAAGATGGCCTGCCCAACTGTGGCCTGTGGGGTGCATGCAACCACTTGTAGCTGAGAATCGCCATGAGTGTGGAGCGATGTAAAATTGTAAAAATACTTAAAACATTGTGAGGATTTTTTTTTCAATTAAATTCAATAGCACAAGTTTTAAGCATGAATTGTGCAGGTAATAATGTTTTATGGTGCCCATAGGTTGGACATGCTTGGATCAGTAAGCAAAGCCACAGGGAGACAGATAGATCAGAGGGACAGAACAGACAGCAATATAGACACCATCTGCTGACACCTGACAGGAACAAAGCCAAACTGAAGCAAACAAAGCCACGGTGAAACAAACAAATCCAGTCTCTGCAACCATGGGGAAACCAGAGGGTCAGATGCAACAGTAACAATAGATGAATCCGGACCTCATCCCTGTGCCCCAAACTAATTCAAAGTGGGTGGTACATGGAAACATCAAACACAGATCTGTGCAGCTTCCAGAATATAAAGGGAGGAATCTAGAATGGCCCCGGGCTTGATTCTGAACTTTAGGAAAAGGTGTGTTTGTCTTACTTCACACGTGTGGGTGTTGTTTTAGTTTGACACCATGGTCAAAGCAAGCCTGGGGAGGAAAGGGTTAGGCTTACATTTTCACAGCACAGTTCATCATCAAGGAAAGTTAAAGCAGGAACTCAAACAGGACAGGAACCTGGAGGCAGGAGCTAAAGCCGAGGCCATGGAGGGATGCTGCTCACTGGCTTGCTCCTCCTGGCTTGCTCAGCCTGCTTTCTTATAGAACCCAGGACCAGCAGCCCAGGGACTGGCAACACCCACAATGGGCTGGGCCCTCCCACACTTTCTCAATGGAGGCCCCGTCCTCTCTGATGACTTTACCATGAATCAAGTTGACATAAAACCAGCCAGTACGTATGTCTGTGTACCAGATGCATGCGGTGCCCGTGGAAGCCAGACAGGGTGTCAAAAGCCCTAGAACTGGACTTGGAGCTGCCATGTGGGTGCTGGGAATTGAACCCAGGTCCTTTGGAAGAGCAGCAGGCACTCTCCAGGCCTTTGTATCATCAAAAGTATGATCCTGGATAGGAAACCTGAAAAGCTTGTCTCCATTAAAACTGAAAACTGCTCCATGAAAGAACTTGTGATAGAATGAATGAAAAGGCCAGCACGGACTGGGGGAAACGCCTGTAATGGACACTGGCACACAAACTGTGCCAAGAACTCTGAAAACCCATAATAAGCAAGCAAGTATCCCACTTAAAGGTAGGCAAAAGGTCAAAGTTCAGAACAGACTCCTCCCCAACATACAGAGTGTGTGACAGCAGGAATGGACCCTGACATTCCTGAACAGAAGCGCACATTAGTGCGCTTCATCACTGACACACAGTGCTGGGCTGGGGTGCTGCTGGGGAGAGTCAGCCATGTGCAGAGGGAAGCCCCCGGGAGTCCTTTGTTCCTTACACCCAATTTCACTGTGAGCTGTTAAATGCCTTGAAAGACGGAGACTGTTGAGAACAATAGTACGGCCATGCCAGACTAGTGTTTACACGCCTGGTCTGCAGAGCCAAGGAGGGGGTAGAGTAGAAATCTGGTTTCATTGAGGACAGGCCCCTGTGCTGGCCCAGCTGTGTAGGAGGATGGCTCCTGGGAGGTATTCCTCCCCTCCCCGCTCCTGCCACAAAAAGATGAAGCTGGGGTCTTTTGCTTCCAAGAGAAGTTGGGAGATCTGAATTCAGACTTGAAATCACAACTGCTGGTCATAACTCATTCAAAACATCACTGAATATCTAAGCAGTCATAGTACAAGGGCCACCAAACCATCCAAGGGCTTGACATGACATTAATCAAAATGGGATGACATGATGGCAATGGGCAGCCTCCTGGCTCTATCATAAACCTCTTTAGGAAGGCTCTTGGTCCCTCCTCTCATGGGTGGGAAGACCAACCCATTAAGGGCCTTGTCTGTTTTGCAAGCCTTGCTGTAAGACATCCTACTGGGCTTGCCAAAGAAGAAACAGGGCAGCCCCTCGAAAGGACACACGATGCCCCTGCCTGCTGGTCACTGTAGACTGCCAGTGATTACGTCAGGGCTTCCTGCTAGAGATTGTGTAACACTTGGGTAATTTTGACACTCTGAGGAACACTTGGATCCTAAGCAGGGCCAAAGCATTATTGCACTTGACTTTGAAAGTGAGAATAACAAAGCCCTCCAGTGGACAAATGAGGAGCAGATGACTAGAGGATGTTTACAAGTCTCTTGGCATCCCTGGGTGGGAAAACAGCACGTGTTCAGTCTCAAAGAACCTGTTAGATGCCTGATGCTGCTCCACAGGCCCAAGGTCCATGGGCTGGGGGGGGGGGTGTCAGACTGTTACCTAGGAAACCTTGACCGCAAGCGGTCCTCACCGAGAGCCATCTCAGAGGTTCAGAAGGAGCCTTGTGAGGCAGGAAGGCAAAAGTGTTTCAGGTCTTGAGTGTGGGAAAGCATCCAGAAATTCAATGACTTCTCTGGCTGCTGCATTTCCTCACCTTACGGAGAAGGAGTTATGAATTCAGCTTAAGCATGTCCAGCACTCACAGGGCAAACCCAAGTCTCCCAGGATTCTGCCACAGCCCATTGTTCAATTCGCCAGCTGTCTGTCTCCCTGGGAAATAACTGTCACTCTTCAAATGTTACTAATGAAAAGACTGAAGAACCAAGTGACAGACCATGACACCAGGCCCATAAAGAGACCGAGCAGATTTAGGACCTGGCCCAACTGCTTAACAGTTAAGCTCTGCCTCCTCCTTCAAATGGGCCAGAAATGGACCTGAGCTACTTCAAAGACATTGCTTCCTTCTACAGCAATGGTTCTCAAATGTCCTAATGCTGCGACCCTGTAATACAATTCCTCACATTGTGGTGATCCCCAACTGTAAAATGATTTCCGTTGCTATTTCATAACTGTAATTTTGTTAGTGTTATAAATCATATGCGACCCTCAAAGGCTTGAGGATTGCTGTTTAGAGGCTTAATATGGAGCGACGCCATACACACACACACACACACACACACACACACACACACACACACACCTGCCTCTGACATGGCTGGTTTCTGTCCAGGTGTCCCACCACCACCCCAGCTGCATGCCACATGAAACTCCTTGTCACCTTCCTCCTCCAGTATTTTGTACTATCCTCAGTGACCCTGGTTTCAGGTGCCCTGCATCTACCCAACTAATGAACTCCACACCACAGACCATCAGAGCTTCTCCACCTACCCTGAAACTCGGGCCCTTCGAATCCCAGTCCCCTCCCACTTGTTGTAAACGTGCATCCTTGATCAAGACCACCCAGTACCCCAACCTCTCCCCTCGTCTTACTGCCTGCTCCCTGATTAGCAGCCTGTCCTCCCCAGAACATTTTATACTTCTGAGAACAGCTTCAAGGCCACATCACCAAATGGTGTGGGGACCGGAGAATTAAGCCGCAGTCTATCTTCGAATCACAGCTTCCGTCCCAGCCAATGACTGGGCACATACCATGTCACCTCTATTATGCAGAAAGCCAGCCTCACAAAACCACTGGGTAGCGGCAATTACACAGTGAGCTCCTAGTCAGGTTACCATCTGGACTTTGACACTGGCATGAAGTCACCTTGTGACAGGTGCACTTTGTGTTCTCCTGGTACCTTCCCAAGCTTCTGGCAGGAAGGAGCCCTGTGCCACAAAGATTAGTTCAGTGTCCCATCATTGCTGAGGGGCATAGAGGCTCCAGTTGGTGCTACACTCACCTGGAGGGTTGAAGGTGGCCTTCCATGTCATCGAATTATCCCGTGTGTACAGCTCCACGGAGCCCTTTCCACCGCTAGAGCAGACTTTAAAACCATCAGAGATGACCTGTCCCCCATAAGCGTAGGGGGCTGGTCGAGGCTGTTCCCCTTGAGTCTTCCAGAAGAATGAAAACGTCACTCCTGAAGAGAGAAACATGCGACATCAAATGCCACAGCCATACCTGGTCAAGGCCAGGTATCTTCCCAAGGGTGACCTGAGCCACCATCCCCTTTCAAGTAGTGCGAAGCCTTGCTCCCATCCCCAGAATGCAGAAGAGGAAACTGAGGCCGGTGGGTTAGTGACTGACGGAGGTCAGATACAAATCTGTGTTGGCTGACACTGAGTGTGCAAGTGTGAACTCCTTCCTACAGTCTCTCCCCCACTTACCAGCTGACTCTGAGCGTGCCAATGTGAGCCCCTTCACCACAGTCTCGACCCCACCTACTCACCCAGATCCTGACAATGGCTTTACAAAGGAAGGAAACGGTTCCATTCATTCTAGTTACACACAGCATCTTTTAAAAGATTTACTGCCTCCGGAATGTCCTCCCACATCCCTAAATACACTTTTACGCTCTCGTTTTTATGTCTGCCCCGTGTTGCATCCTAAACAGCCCCCTGCTTCTGAGTCATATGGCTTGCTTCAAAGTTCGGAAGGAACGTTCCAAACAGAACTTGAAGCTAATTTTTTTTTTTGACACATCTCAAATTGTATATATTTCAGAACATGTTCCCCAGGGGGTGTTCGTGTGAAAAGGGAAGCTGAGTTTTCAAAGTTCATGATGCCTTGGCTGCTGGATGCCTGTGGGTGAAGGTGTGAAGTCGGCAGAGGTAAGAGCAGCTACCATGTTTTGCAAATGCCCAGTATGGGTATGTATGATGGCTGATTTTAATCATCCATTTGACACAACCTAAAATCACCTGGGGAAGGAGTCTCAAGTTGAGGATTGTCTAGATCAGGCTGGTTTGTGGACATGCCTGTGAGGAAGTGCCTCACTTGCTTTAATTGGTGTGAGAAGATCCAGCCCATTGTGGGCAATATCATTCCCTAGGTTTGGGTCCTGGGCTGTATAAGAGTAGAGAAAGCTAGCAGAGAACAACACACACACATATTCACTCTCTCTGCTCTTGACTGTGGATGTGATGTGACCGACAGTTTTATAAATTCCTTCTGCTTTGACTGGCCTACAATGATGAATTATAATCTGGAATTGAGCTAAAAGAAAAAGAACGTTCTCCCATAAGGCTGCTTTTGTCAGGGTTAGTTTGTCCTAGTAAGTTTGAAGCACAGATCCTACGCTGGGGTGAGGGTGGTACCCCACATAGACTATGTAGTCCTTGCTACAAACATCACTATGAGTCAGGTCACAGTGGATGTTACCCTTCGTCCCCAGATGCAGAGAGAATATAGCTGACCTGCCAGACTCTGGATGGCCAAGAGTGTCTGGCATGCACACAGGCAGGTCTGGGCCCACCTTCATCCAGGTCCATCAAGGCACAGACCTGATAGGAGGCCCCCATTGGTTACAGACATCCCTGAGATTACACCGTAGCTTTCCTGTTTCCAGTAATCTGTGCCCATTTCTCTTACCAGACATGTACACTGTCTGTGTGTGTTTGTATGTACATGTGTATGTTAAGCTGGTCACCTTCTGGACTCTGTGTGTGAAAGATAAAAATGAAACAACTTTCAGGCTCCTCCCATCTGGCCTGAGATGTGACTCAAGCTAATCTCCCCACAGGGATGATCATAATAGGCCACCATGGATCAGGGTACAAGGGGGATGAAGGAGAGAGGTGTGGGGACATCTGCTCTGGCCTTATTAATATAAATGGCACCAAATTTAGCTGTTGTCAGTGAATTGAGGTCGTATACAGAGGTTTACAAGACTCTGGTGGGTAGGTTGGTGTCTTGTTGCCAGCCATCTTTGCCAAAAGGCCCATGGGTTGGTCTGTTAGAGTCTTTTGAAGGTTTTCATTACAACAGTGCTACCTCCTGCCTTCTGGTATGGAAGTCCCTGCATGACTAACATGAGCAATGAGCATAGGAGATGTGGCACAAGTTTTCTAGTCTTGGCTTGGAATTTCTCCATTATATTTTTTCTATCCAAGAGGAATCTAAAGATTTTGAGTGCTCCCCCCCCCAAAAAAAAAGATGAGTGAATGACAAATACTCAGGCTGACAGATTTTGAATTGCCCTGCTCAGCTTAGTCTTCACCACATAGGTGTTGATGTGACATACAACACCCATAGAATGCATAATCACTCTGTATGGATCAAAAGTGAAAATCAAGACTCAGGAGATGGCTCAGTGGTTAAAGCACCTGCCAGGCAAGTGTGACTTCTGGAACATGGATCTCTATCAACCCCCATAAATGCACAGCCATGGCAGCCTGCCTATAATTCTAGCCTCAGAAGGCTGAAACAGAGAGTCCCCAGAACAAGCTGACTAGCAAGACAAACCATATCCATAAGCTCTGAGTTTGGGAGATCAATTGAGAAAGATACCTGGGTCTCCACCTGCTGACACACACACACACACACACACACACACACACACACACACACACATACATACATACATAGGAAAAATATATAAAAGCCAGTCAAACATGGTAGTTCAGGTCTGTATCTCAGGTGCTTGGAAAGCTGAGGCAGGAGGATCATAAGCTCAAGGCTAGCCTGAGCTACATAGTGTGTTCAAGACAGTCCTAGGCAATTTAGTGAGATCTTGTCTACCAATCAAAGGTAAAACACAGAGTGGAAGATGTAAACCACTGGTAAAGCACTTGCCTAGTGTGCTAGCTGTGAAAATATGCACACATACGTATATCATACATACATATGGATAGGAGAGAGAGAAAGGGAGGGAGAGAGAGAGAGAGAGAAAGGAAAGGGTTTCGGCTTTTTTTTTTTTTTTTTTTTTTTTTGCCCTGGCTGTCCTGGAACTCGCTATGTAGACAATACTACCCTCACAGAGATCCACCTGCCTCTGCCTCCCAAGTGATGGGATTACAGGTATGGTGTCACCATGCCTGTCTCAAAACTAAGTTTTGTTGGGGTTTTTGTTTGTTTTGTCTTGACGTATTTTAAGAACCTCCAAACACTAGGAGGGTCCCAGACCTCTCTGGGGCTCTGGGAACTCCAGGTAGATCCAGGTCTAAGGGGCATCCTTGGGCTGCTGAGGAAAATAGCCCTGGGATGTCTCTAGCGCTAGGATAGGATGATGGTGAGAGGCAGCGGAGAGGCTGGAGGATGTGGCTGAGGTTCAGGCCACCCTGGGGGTGGAGGAGGGGACATAGATCTCTCCCTCCTGTCCTTTCTCCACCAGGCTCAGGTGGCCCCCTGCCTCTCCCCCGCCCACCTCCCTGTGCTCAGAAACAACCAGTTTCATATGGAAATGAACAAGGCACGTTGTGGAATTTTTATCATGAGATGTATCTCCAGCAGGACTCCTGAAAGCCATTTCTCCCCACCCACCCCCAAAACGTTGCTGCTTTTAAAAAAAAATCCTTTCACTCAGCTCAAAAGGCAAAATGATGCTGTCTCTGCCAAATGCACCTCTGCTCAGGAAGAGGAACAAAAATAAAAAATTCAATGCGTTGTTAGGTAATAAGAATAAAAATTAAAAATTCAGTATAGTGCTGGACCGGGACAAGGAGAAAATGGGTCATGAACTCTGCCAGCCAAGCAACTCATTTTAGCTCAGTCAACCTGCAAAGTAATGACTCCTGTCTGCCGGAAGCCCTCATTGAGAGATCAGTCAGCATCTCTACAGCCCGGAAAGATTCACAATGTGCGCACAAGAGCACCTGTCAAAAGCTCAAATCATCAACACAGAGAAGGAAGTCTGGAGGGGAAAGAAATAAGCACAGCACAGCACATTGGTTCCATAGTTTGCTGTTGTTGGGATCAGTAAATCCTAATCTCTCCATAGCCCCTTGTCAGGGATGCACTAAGTTAAACAGAAGCATCAATGATGCGTCCAGACCAGCTGCGCCTGCTCAGTAAATACACCACGAGCGCTGCCTTGTGCTGAACACTGTGAAGGTCTCAGAGAACCAATGGTAGTCCAGGAATTGTTCCCCACAGGGCCAGAGACTAGGAAGGATATGTGACAATACTCCACCGTCAGTCACTAAGTCCTAGGGAGGAGCTGCCACACAGGGACAGATGGTCTGAGGCAGAGGCACTTTGCCAAGCAAAGGGAGTGTGGAGCAGAACCCCAGGTCTGCAGGTAGATCCTTGGATCCCCAGAAAGGCCCTTCCTACTCTCAGCTTCCCTGCATGGATACTCTGTGAAGTGAAGAAAATGTGAACTGAAGACACACAGACAGGCAGCTCCCTGAGGCTGATGCTCTGGGCCCCATGTGTGTCTCAGTTGGGAGAATGTTGGCCTAGCATGAAGGCCAGCAAACTCCTGCATGAAGCCTCGAGTTTGATCTCCAGCACTGCAAAAAGCCATGTGTGAAGTAAATTCCTACAATTCTTGTCTTGAAAGAAAAGGAAGTGAAGAGAGGGAGGAGAGAGAGGGAGGGGGGAAGAAGAAAGGAGGGAGGGAGGGAGGGAGGGAGGGAGGGAGGGAGGGAGGGAAAGAGAGATAATAACCTGGTGTGTTTTGATGTTGATGGCCATTTGAACTGAGGTCCAGCTCAAACTGTAGGTTAACAAACTCCAAGACTCTGACACTTTGACCTTAAAATTGTTCCAAGTTTTCTCATAAAGCTAAAAATAGGACTACCCTGTGACCTAGTTATACCACCTCTGGGCATATGCTCATAGGACTCCATAGCCTACCACAGAGACATAGCTCCTCTGTGCACAATAACCAGGAAATGAAGCCATCCTGAACATCCATCAGCTGCTGAATGGATAATGAAAAGGCGGTACCTTTACACAACTGAATTTTACTCAGCTGTAAAGAGAGAGGATAGAGAGAGAGAGAGAGAGAGAGAGAGAGAGAGAGAGAGAGAGAGAGAGAAGGGAATCATGAAATTTGCATGAGAATGGGTGGAACTGGAAAATATTATAGTCAGTGAGGTCACCCCGGTGTAGAAAGACATAATGTCTTGTGTCCTTTCTCATATGCAGATCCTAGCTTTGAGCTTTTAGATTTGTGTGCTTAATTTTGAGTGTCTATAGAGAAGCCAGAATGGAACCACGAGAAGGGGGAGGGGAAGAGGTCTGAAGGTATAAGAGGATAGTTGAACATATGGGCTGTGAAAGCAGAGGTGGAAAATATTGGGCCTTAAAAGGTTAAGCAGGAGTGGGGGCAGTGGGGGATGAAGGAGGACGAGATTGGGGGTGAATTAACCAAGACTAAAGACTTGTGAAAAACACTTATGGAAACTCACTGCTTTGTTAGCTACTTAAAATATATCAATTTTAAAAAGGAATGTGAATAGAAGTGCCCTGCGTAAGTCAACAATGAAGCTCTCAGAAGATATGAGTTCTTAAATGAAAATCTCAGCGCCAGGCACTGGCACCTCCCTCCAAGTTATTTATTGGTCAGGGAGGCCCCAGAGACCGCTGAAGCAACACAGGCTCTTGCCTTTGCTCTTGGTTTCCTACCATAACTAGATGGTAAGACCCTATGGCTGAAGACATCACATACTTTGATTGCAGGACAGAGAAATCAAGCTAGGACTGACCTGGAAACTTGTTTGCTAACTAGCTTTCACAGAGCTGGAAGATGTTATGCAGGCCACTGGGAAAGAAAAGCAATCATTGATCTTATTCACTGCTGGACCCTGCATGATAAAATACTGACCTGCCAGGCAAGATGTACCTACTGTTACAATAGTGGCATGACTGTTATGAGGTAACCAAACCACCTTCTAATTGGATTTTAGGCCTACTCCCAGGAAGGAATTTATGCCTGGTATTGTCAACAGCATATGGCTGGGGAGGTCATAGACTTTAGTGGGAAGCCTACATTGAATTGCTTTGATAAATGGACATGTGATCAAACTGCCTTCTAAATATTTTTCTTCCCATCCATGGACCAGTGCCCCTGTCAACCTTGGTCAGATAAGCTTCTTTGTGCAATGAGCAGGGGTTAGTTCGGAGATACACAGTTATTCAAAATGATAAGAATATGTGATTCTTGAGTGCTCATCCCTAAACGGGACATCCGTATCAACCCTCCCAAGGCATGGGGACCATCACAGAAGAAGAGGCAGAAAGAATGTGGGATCTGGAAGATGGGAAGGGGTGCTGTCTACTGACGTGACACAGCTGTTACCCTCACAGGCTCACAGCAGATGTGGTCACTTACACACTGCCAAGTCAGTCCACATTCCAACACAAACTGGGGAGGGGCTCATGAGGCCCCACTCTTAGCTCAGGTGCTATTGACCATTGATGGCTACTGGAGAAGGGATCCGTTTTCTTCGGGACTATGGCCACTGATTGGTTGCCCATACTCTGGTGGGTGGCCCCACACCCATGCCCTTGCAGGCAACACTAATTGGATGAATAGGTGTGACAAGAAAAAGGGGGAAAGGACATGAAGCTGGCTTGGGTGGCAGAGGACAATGTCCCCAAAGGATTCAAATGTGGCCCAGACTCCAAGAGGAGAAGTGGGGTCTGCCTTCTCTTTGACACGCACCTGTCATGAGTTCCAGCCACAGGTCACAGGGTGGAACAGGTCCAGTCACCGTCCAGCCACCCTCAATGAACACATAAGAGGACCCACTTTGAGGGTTAACAGGCACACCCTGCTCTGCCAGGCCTGGCCTGTCATCAACATCCCAGATCCAGAAATAACGCTGTGAGAGCCACACCATCAATTTCCTTCCCACAAGTGCTGGGCCCCATCCCAGCCTGAGTGACATCCATCTCAGCTGCTGTGTTTTAAAGTGGGATTCTCCTCATTCCCCTACAGGGTTCAATATTTTGATCTCCTTGGCTCTGGAGGGCAACACCCTAACTTTCAGTCTCCAGAATAGGAGACTGAATTCAAGTGGCTACATCTCTTCCCACTCCATCCTTCCACCTTGCATCTGACATTTTCACACACATTGCAGCTGATAAGAACCCTGTTCTCTAATGCTGCGGACATAATTCAGTAGGGAATGGTGCTTACAGCACAAGCGTAAGGACCTGAGTTCAGGTATCTAGAACCCACATTACAAACAAACAAACAAACAAACAAACAAACAAAGCCAGGCATGATAATGTGCACCTATAAGCCCAATGCTATTGTGGGGGATTTCAAGAGGATTGCTAGAGCTGTCAGACTAGCTCCAGGGTCAACGAGAGAGTCCATCTCAAGGGAATGAGGCAGAGTGGCAGAACAGGACACCCAATGTCCTTCTCTGGAGCATGAGCACACTTACTGAGTATACACACACATGCACACATATGCACAACACACACACATGCATACATGCACACATACTCACATGCACACACCACTCTATTCACATGGGCCACTAGCAGGGTAGCCCCAACTCACCCTCAGGTCCACACTGGGCCGGGTTGCTGATACAGGATGACTTGTAGCTGCCATAGTAGAGGAATGTCACACCCTTCTCCTCCTTGAGGTAAATCCCTTTATTGACCTTCCCTTCCATGATATCTAAGAAAGGATATGGACATGTCAGTTACCCTATTCCACCAGAAAACTCAACATGCATATCAAACTTACAAGCAACTTACAAATGAGTTCCCGGTGTTATCCTCCTTCGTAATGCAGTTATAATATCACACATTATTCCCTGATAGTAATCGCATTCAGTAATATTTAATTATTGATATCGTGTGAATGATTCATAGGTTTAAGTGTCAGGGAATAAATTATTACCCTTCTATTAATGTCAGGTCAGCACAACCTATATTTTAATGCAACAATATTGTAACTGACATATTTGCCAACTGTTGAGCCCTAAATGCCACTCACACTCCTGCTGTTTGGGTCTCTCCCACTCTGCCTCACACTGAGCTTTCTGAATGGAGCATTCTCATTACTTGAGCGTGAGGCCACAGCTGCATCCTGATCTTACTGGGTACTCACTGAAGCATCCGGTCCTCCATATATTCAGTCTCAGCTTTAGAGCCATGTCCAGACCCAGGAGGAGCCACAGCCCCATTTAGAAAGTCCCTGAAGGGTTTGCCAACAACGATCCCAGAGAGCCACGAACCCCTGTCTCCAACACAGCTCTTTCAGCTACCTTGTTTTGTCATGTGCCAGGGCTGGTGTGTCCCATGACAGAAGTAAGATGGTTGCTTTATAGATAGTGATGCCTATAGAATTATAGAGAGTGAAGACTACAGAATTATTGGCGATGGGCTCTTTCTATGCACCAGAATGAGCATGCCCAGAGACTGCCACAACCCTGTGTGGGAACAGGGAGGTGAAGTGTATGTCCTTCTGGCTACCGGCCAAGTGTGCGTTCACGCTCTGGGAACTCTGCTCACACGTATCACTGGTTAGGTGCAACGCTCCCTGTCATGTGGACCTCCACACAAGGGCCTCATTGTTTAAACTCTCTGGTTCTACTTATCCCATTGGCTGCCATGGGAGGGTTATATCTTACTTCACTAAATGGATAACTACCCACCAGATAACTGAGCCAGACTGCACAGGCCCCAGAACCAGACTGCTTTCTTAGTAAAATCATTCAGCAGGGCCAAACAGCCCACAGTGGAGAGAGAAATCAGATGATGTGCTAAGGAGAGAAACAGAGAAAGGAGAGAGACAGAGGAGCACGCAATCCGAACGGGTTTTCTACACCCATCAGATGCTCACCACCATCACTGCTGTCCCTTCAGCTCTGACCTCAAGGGAATCGCAAGCTCTTGGTTAACTGACAATTGTGGGTGTGTCTTCTAAAATGGCTCCTAAAGAGTTTTCCCCAATGCAGCTGAGGGAATGCTGACGAGATGTTTGCGAGACCAGATTTTGAATAAATTTTAAAATCAACTTGCAGTTTCTCTGAACTGGGCAGGGTTAGCCTCCCCCAGGCCCACCCCGCAAAGAACACAATATATTCAAAACTCCAGGTTCTTCCAAGCATGGTGGTGCACAGCTGGAATCCTAGCATGGGGATGCAGGAAGACCATGCGTGTAAGTTCATCCTTGGATACACAGAGAATTTGAGGCCAGCCTGGGTTACATATACCTTGTCTCCAAAAAGGAGGAAAAAATCCATTTTCAATGTTTAGGAGGTATCTGGGCTGTGTTTGTTTTTGCTTCTGAGATCAAGTGACTGATTCAAATGAACTTGACAATGTGGAAAAACCTTCACCCTTCCAGACATGGCTATCAAGGAGGCTGCCTACGCCAGAAGCTGGTGTGGCCTTCCCCAGTGTCCCGGCTCTCTGTTGATGTCCATCACTTGTACCTGGCCACCCACTCCTTTACCAGCCAAGTGAGTCCTAAAGAACCAAATTAGTCCGGCCCTTAACGTCACTGGGCTCCAAATTTGACAGGACCAAATACCGGTGCTCACCTACAGTCGCAGAGAAGTTGGAGTAGGCGGAATCATTGGTAAAGACAAAGGTAGCATTGTGGGAGGGAGGCACAGTGAGGTTGTGGGTTCGCGACGCTGGGTGAAATGACAAAAGAGAAGACAACACATGAGTGACATGAGACATAAATGGAAACAGCACATCTCTCACCCGGCACACAGGGGAAGGGCTCCTCCTTCCCACCTCCTCCTCTGCCCACAGGGTTCTTCAGCAGACTCCGCAGCCAGCTCCAATGACCCCCCCCCCAGCTGGGTCACTGCTGACCTTGGCCACAATCTAGTAGATAAAGGTGTCAATTTGCTGGCTCCCACTCCCACATGGGTGCATAGTTGAGAGATGTAGAGCTGAACTCAGCCATTTATGAAGCGGTGGTAACAAAGTGGGGAACGGTTGTGATACGAAGAACAAATGAGGGAGACACACTGTGAAAGCAGCTCCGTGAGGTGGCAACGGACGGGACAACACAGGGTTTGGCTACAGACAAATGGACCTCACATCCAGGAGGTGGCATCCGGAGCCAGTCCGCTGTCCCCAGCCTTGAGAGTACTGGTAGATCCCAGCTGGTCTCTCCATCCTGGGGACCTGCTCTCATGATGACACACGCCTGTTCAGCAACACATACTGCAGAGGGAGTTCCAACAGGAAGCCACAGTGCCAGCAGCGCATTGCACAGTGTGGGGACGGACATGAAGGTATTGAGGATTTCACCAGAACATCAGAAGCTACAGACTTAACCAACAGCAGTGAGCTAAGATAGGGAGACAGGGAAGACACCTGGGATGAAGGCCCTGAGATCCTGAACAATGCACTTCCACTTGGTCAGGTGATTGCCTCTCAAGGGTTTCCAAATAAAGACTTCCATGGAAGAAATTGAGATTATGGAGATCTACAAGGATGACCCCCAACTAACAATCTAAGCAATAAGTGGAGAGGCTACCTTAAACGCCCTTCCCCAATAATGAGATTGATGACTACCTTATATGCCATCCTAGAGCCTTCATCTAGTAGCTAATGGAAGCAGAAGCAGACACCCACAGCTTAACACTGAGCCGAACTCCAGGAATCCAGTTGCAGACAGGAACCAAAGGGGCCAAGACCAGGCTGCAGAAATTGTTGACCGTAACAACGGGGAGCTCATGGATTCCAGTCTGATAGCTGGGAAACCAGCATAGGACCAACCCAGACTCCCTGAATGTGGTGTTAGCTGGGAGGACTGGGCAGTCTACGGGGCCTCTGGTAGTGGATCAGTATTTATCCCTACTATATGAGTGGACTTTGGGAGCCCATTCCACATACAGGAATACTCTTTTAACCTAGACACAGGGAGGAGGGCATGGATCCTGATACAAATTATATGACAGACTTTGAAGACTCCCCATAGAAGGCCTCATCCTCCCTGGGGAGCAGAAAGGGGATGGGATGGGGGTTTCGGGGGAACAGGGGAGGACGGTAGGGTCCTGGGATTGACATGTAAAATAAGTTTGTTTCAAATTAAAAATTTAAAATTTAAATTTAAAATTTAAAAATTTTAAAAATTATAAAAAATAAAAATAACTTGAGATATGACAAAGGCTGATGATCTGTTTTTCCCTGATCCAACACACCAGCTAGCACAGGGTGCTGTCACCCTTACTACAGCAGAGTAGAAAAAATTCTTGACTGCCATACAATCTGCAGGCGCCACCATTGTCCTACCGAAGGATGGAGGAACAGCATCGTCAAACCCAGCCCTTCGCAGAGGTCACACCGCCACCAGTTGACTTGGAAGATTTTTGTTTTAGTTTATTTTTAATTTTAAAAAATACTATTTGTTTTATTTTAGTGTTTAAATATACATTTATCTGCTGCATATGCACACACACACACACGCACATGCGTATATGACACAGCATGTGTGTAAAGGTCAGAGGACAACTTGAGGAGAGTAGTTCTCCCCTTCCACAATGAGGGTCCCGGAGACTGAACTCACGTTGCAAGCTTGCCAGCACGTGCCTTTATCTACTGAGCCATATTGCCAACACTTTATTTATTTATTTATTTATAATTTATTTTGTAAAATGGGGCTTGTGTATGCCAAGAGGCATAAGTTGAGGTAAGAGGATAATCTTCAGGATTCACTTCTACCATGTAGGTTCTGGGAATCGAACTCGAGGCATGATGCTTGGCAGCAAGCACCTTTACTCACTTAACTATCTCAACCAGTCCTTGAATTCCAAAGTTTTAGGGACACATTTTAAAACCTTCTGTGACAGTTCTCCACAGTGTTTGAGTCATATCAATGAGGAAGATGCCAGGGATCTGGGGTGGACAGCTGCCCACCAGCAGTGTTTTGAATGCATTGCAAAGGAACCTGTATATATACAGAACAATTGTGTGTGTGTGTGTGTGCATGTGTGTGTGTCTGTCTGTCTGTCTTTCCACATTTGACATCTGTAAGAGCAACAAGTATACAAAAATAAAGTGGAAGACCTCCAAAATTTATTCTGTCTGAATCAATACTTTTAAAAAAGGAATTCTGTTGGAATGGACATGCTCATAACTGTCCTGGGTTTCTCCAATATCATTGTCTGAGTTCAGTGAGACAGAGACCCTGACACCTCCTGTAGGGAGAGCATCTTAGCGGATGTTGGCTGGAGTGTGGATAAGTGCTGGGTCAACAGGGAACCCATTGCTTTGTAAAACAGTGACCTTAAAACAAGACAGTCTGAGCCAGGTGGTGGCGGCACAAGCCTTTAATCCCAGCACTCGGGTAGCAGAGGCAGGTGGATCTCTGTGAGTTCGAGACACGTCTGAGCTAGTTCCAGGACAGCCTCCAAAGCCACAGAGAAACTCTTGAAAAATCAAAAACAAAAACAAACAAAAAGACAGTCTGTCGCAGTTCATCATGATCCAACATCAGCTTGTTGTGGCTAGTCAGCCCTGTCCACCCACAACCATGTACCCAGACTCACACCACAGCAGAAGGTTGTCCACTAATTAAGAGTTAGGAAACCCTGCCCTTCTATCACTAGCAATGTGTAAATGTTCCCATGAAATGCTTTGCAGCAACTGTCAGTGAACCACAGAGTGCTCACTCATCTCCATAGCTGTAGCTCCAGTGTGTCCTGGGCCATCTAGAGAGTCTTCCCCTCTCGTCAGGTGCCCCAGCCCCTGGGAGGCGCTATCCCCACACCTGCAGGCTTTCTCATCACCCTTGTCTACCTCCAGTTGTGTCCTGAAGCTCAAGGATCCCATCCACATTTTCCAGTGGCCAGTAATGAGAAGCAGAAGCCAAGACCGCAAACCCTGCAGAGAAAGGACCAAAAAGTTGAAATCACAATTAGGGAGGAAGGAACTAAAGATAAGAGCTGTGACCTTGAGCACTTGAAGATTGAGAAAGAGTGGAATTGTCATGATGACCATGGACCTGGCTGAAAAGGCATTAAGAAAATTCAATACACACTCCTGGTTAAACAAAAACCACCGCTTTAAATTAGAAATCAATGGCTAGTTTTGTAATTGGACAGAGCAGGACAAATAGGAAAGGACACCTCCTAACTCAAGAAAACAAAAGCCCTGTGTATATCGATACAGGGCCAGGAGCTGCCCATTAGTGTAGAGAAAAGGTAGAAATGCCCATTATTGCGCTGTTCCTTGGAGTGGCTTTAGAGGCAACATCTGATATAATTGGACCACAGAATGAAACAAGGTTTTAAAAAGACTTTACTGGGGGAAGATGCTAACACCAATGTGGGTGCCAGGCATCACGGAGGCCCTTGACAAACACTCCCCTGTGTCTTTTAACAGTAACTCTCAAGATAGCACACCCTTCCCCTATTTGTAAAGAGAAGTGAAATTCCTGCTGGAGGGCTAGAGAGATGGCTCAGTTGACAAACTGATTGCCACACAGGCTGAGCTCTATTCCCCAGGCCCACATGAAAACACATGAGGTGGTAAATGCTTATGATCCCAATGCTACGGAGGCAGAGACAAGAGGGTCCTGGGAGATCACAAGCCAGGCAGGTTAGCTATAAAGTGAGAGTTTTCGAGACCCTGCACTCATATATGTGCATACATGCACACACACACACACACACACATACACACACACACACACTAACACCCCAAAACATAAAAATAAAAAACAAACAAGAGTAGCTATAGCCAAGAATAAATACGAGGACCTGGAGAGGGCATGGGGAGGTAGAGGTGAGCATTACTAGAGGATGCTGGGAACAGCAAAGGTCTTGAGGGGAGCTGGAGACAGCATGGAATGGAGGTTGCAGTGAGAAGACGTCAGGTACCGGGCATGTAGTCAGATGTTCAGTGGCAGGAGAGGCCACGGGTGGCTCCACTACATATAGACAGTTGGCTTATGATAAAAGTGGCATTTTAAATAAAAAGATTTATTCACCATAGGTACTGAAGTGAGTTAGGCATCCGGGGAAAAAAGTAAGATCTTACCTCACTAATACTTTAGATGGTTCAAAATGTGAGCATAACACAAAAGCTGAGCTAGAGGTTGGGTGGGGTGGTGTGTGGCTTTAATCTCAGTTTGGGGGGGCAGAGGCAAGGGGATCTCTGTGGTCGAGGCCAGCCTGGCTACATAGTGAGAGGCTACCTAAAAATGAAAAGGTGAGCTGGGTACAGTGCCTTGTGTCCGTATGCAATTAGGGTTCAGGGAACTCTCTCTGCATTTCAATCATAACATTTTGAAGAAGCCATTAGTGAACTACTCAGTGCTCCCTCATCTCCATCACCCAAGAAGTGCTCCCTCACCTCCATCACCCCAGCAGTGCTCCCTCACCTCCATCACCCCAGCAGTGCTCCCTCATCTCCATCACCCCAGCAGTGCTCCCTCACCTCCATCACCCCAGCAGTGCTCCCTCACCTCCATCACCCCAGCAGTGCTCCCTCACCTCCATCACCCCAGCAGTGCTCCCTCACCTCCATCACCCCAGCAGTGCTCCCTCACCTCCATCACCCCAGCAGTGCTCCCTCACCTCCATCACCCCAGCAGTGCTCCCTCACCTCCATCACCCCAGCAGTGCTCCCTCACCTCCATCACCCCAGCAGTGCTCCCTCACCTCCATCACCCCAGCAGTGCTCCCTCATCTCCATCATCCAAGAAGTGCTCCCTCATCTCCATCACCCCAGCAGTGCTCCCTCATCTCCATCACCCCAGCAGTGCTCCCTCATCTCCATCACCCATCAGTGCTCCCTCATCTCCATCACCCCAGCTCCAACACATCCTTCCCTTCCACTTGGGAGGTAGAAGGATTAGATGTTCAGAACCAGTCTACATGATGTAATGAGTTTTAGGTCAACCTGAGCTGTGTAAGGACCTGGTTCAAATAAATACATAAATAAGTGGAAGCTTTCTGAGGTTTTAACATTTGGCCAATTTTGAAAATTTCTATATAGGAAATAAACCGAATCAAACTGTGAGGCAATGTTCTCAAAGTGTATATGACAGGAAACACATTGATTTCCTTTTTAGATGTATTCAATTTACTATAGTAATAAAATTCCTGTAGGCTAGGAATATGGTTCAGTGCTAGAGTGTTCATTTAATATGTGTGAGGACCTAGAGTCAATCCTCAGACAGCAGAGAAAGGAGAGAAGGAAGGAAGAAAGGAAGAGAGGGAGAAAGGGAGAGAGGGGAGAAGGGAGGGAGGGAGGGAGGGAAGGAAGGAAGAAGGGAAGGAGGGAGGGAGGGAAGAGAGAGAGAAAAAAAAAAACCTATGAAGAAAAGGAAATCAACAGAAAGCTTAGGCACAGTAAGACAGGTGAAGGAAAAAGAAATGCAAATTGTTTTTTGTTTAATTATAAAGCACCTCACCAACCCAACCTTGTTCAGTGCACCCCAGGATTGTAAAGACTGCAGAGGACAGTCAGTCGGACTTCAGTTCTGACCGAGGTTCAGATGGAGTCAGCATCAGTTTGGCCTTTCGGGCGGACAATTTGGCTGTCTCTGCAGAGGTTGAGGACACTTTCTCTCTGGTGAAGTAACTCTACTCCTAAGAATTTATACTCCAGACGCTCTCAAATGTATGGTCAAAGACCTGTATGCAAAAGTATTTGTTGTGGGATGCTCCCAGAAGATCAGAAACCAGACAGCAGCCTGAATGCTCATCTGTGGCTAGTTGACTAAATAATCAGAGTGTATGTGAAGTGAGCTGGTGTGCAGCTGAAGAAATGATGAATAATGACATGCATGGGGTGACACAGATTGGTGTTTAAAAAGAGCTGGGGACACAGCTTCCTGGTAGAATGCTTGTCTAGCATGCAAAAAAAAAAAAAAAAATCTGGGGCTCCATGCTCAGCAAAACACACACACATGCATAAAGGTGAAAGAAAAGCTACTGATTAAAAATAATAAGTAATAATAAATAATTTAAGGCAAACATAGTAATGCAGACCTTCAATCCAATACTAGGGAAGGTGAGGCGGGGTATAGTGAATTCAAGGTCAGCATAGTCTACAGAGTAAGAATCTGTCTCAAGAAAACTAAAAGAAGTAAATAAAAAAATATCAAGGTGAGATAGCCAGGCGTTATGGCTCACAACCTTCAATTCCAGCACTTGGCTCACAACCTTCAATCCCAGCACTAGGGAGGCAGAGACAGGTGGATCTCTGTGAGCTGGAGGCCAGCCTGCTCTACATAGTGAATTCTGGGACAGCCAGGGATGTCGGAAGGAAGGAAGGAGGGAAGGAAGGAAGGAAGGAGGGAAGGAAGGAAGGAAGGAAGGAAGGAAGGAAAAAATGAGAAAGGAGAGTCACATTGCCCGCACCTCCTGCTCTCCAAACCTTTGACTACCTTCCTTGGCACAACACTGTTAAGTTCCACCTTGAAAATCACAGATGACAACTAAAGTACAGCATCTTGATTGGTACCAAATACCTCACCTCTTGAAGTTCAGATCACTGGCTCTGTTTGCCAGTTTGTGTCTTAACTACTTTAGACACTGTTGTGATTAAAAAGCCCCACCACAAGCAACTTGTGGTGGGTTCTCTTTAGGCTCGAGGACAGGCCGCAGTTCCTCAAGGTGGAGTATGGACAGCTCATCACATTTTGTCCACAGTCAGGAAGCAGCAAGAAGTGAATGGATCCTGGAGCTCAGCTCACTTTCTCCTTTTCTGTTAGTGTAGGATCCCTATTCACAGGATGGTGCTGCCTATGTTTAGAGTGAGTGTTCCTGTAGCTCTAACAACTTGACACAGCCTAGAGTCCTCTGAGAGAAAAGCCTAACAGATGAATTGTCTGGATCCGATTGGGCATGTCTGTGTAGGTGTTGGGGTGGGGGTACCTTAAATGCTAATTGATCTGGGAGGACCCAGCTCTCCGTGGGCAGCACCATTCACCAAGCTGTATAAGAAAGATAACTGAGCAGAAGCCAAAGAACAAGTCAGTAACGAGGCTCCTCCATGGTCTCTGCTTGAGTTCCTGCCCTGACTTCCCTCAGTGATGGGCTGTGACCTGGGAGTGTAAGCCAGATAAACCCTTTCTTCCCTTACCGTTGCTTTTGCTCAAAGGGTTTTATCACAGCAATGGCAATCAAACTACAACAGTGAGTTTTTCTACCTCAGTCAGCCTAATCTAGACAATTCTCCATGTGCATGCCCGGAGATTTGCCTCCTATATGATTCTGAATCCTGTCGAATTGGAGATATTAACCTTCACCATTCTCTCCTGTCCCTTTCATGTTCGCACACGACTCCCAAATGCAAGCCAAAAACAGAGAAAGCCTTCCACTGGGGCCTAAGGAAATTAATCAAGGCCTGACTCCCACACGCAGCCAGAAAGCAGTGCCAAGGTAGTCTCTGGCTAGGAGATGCCGGAACTCAAAGGGCAAAAATCCAAAACCTTCATTTTCAACTTCTCATTTTTGCTTAACCCCAGAAATTGAGGATATTTGGTTTTTGAAACCCCTCATGGGCTTGTTATTCGATTCATGTGGAGAAAATAGCAGAAGCAGAAAGAACATCTATTACACAAAGAACGACTGTTGGGTCTTCAGAACCCACCTCTGCCACTAAGCCATGTGGACACAGCATCCCTGCTGCCATCTCTAGTGAACAAGGCTACAGCCATTTCTGGGCAGAAAGGCTCATCAATGAAGAGATGAAGTCACCCTAAAACAAGCCCATACAAAGGAGATGGGTTAAAAGGTCTGAGCTGAGTGGATTGTCCCATTGGGTTGGCATGAACCCCAAGACAGGACAAAGCAACTGTTCCCACTGTCCTGACTATAACATGAATTTGTCTACTCATGGGAAGTCAAGGGGACAAGGCTGCTTGAGAG